GACCTTGACATTGACCTTTGACCTACTTTTCACCATGAACTGAACTTTGATTGCACCATTTTTAGTTATATATATTTTTTGCATATTTTGAAAATTCTTGTTGATTGCATTTTTACAGCTTGTCAAGCACAAGACTGGTGGCTGCACCCCTTATTTTGTGTATGTGGGGGTCTATACGAATGCGCTTGCTCCAGCTGGTGGTACAATATTCGGAGGCGGTATCGCCTCTCTGATCTTCTAGTTTATCTTGAAGTCTTATATTTGGGAACACCACCTTCCACAGTTTTCTTGAGGATAGAAGCCTCTTTTAACCACTGGAAAGCAATATTAGAGACAAAAATAAGTATCTAATGCTTGGTTAACATTACTTTACCCACAGGATAACTGTCCAGAAGATAATAATTTTATTAAATGGATAGTGTTATCCAGTGGATAGCGCTATCCACTGTTGATGGAATTGGGCCCATAGGACAATAATTTTATCCAAAGGATAGCATTATCCATAGTATAAGGCTATCCACTGTTGATGAAACTGGGCCCAGAGGACAATAATTTTATCCATAGGATAGCGCTGCTCAGTGTTGATGAAACTGGGCCATAATATTTTGTGTCATTGATCTTGTGACAGAGTTGTACCAGTAATCCCCAGCCAGACATAGAGGACAGAGTGCGCCATCTAGAGGAGAGATTTGTAGACGGCTTCTGTCAGGTGATGGGAAAGAACAAGAAGTCTATATCCCAGCAGAGATATCAACTGGCTGTAAGGCTGTACTATAGAGTGCTGGAGAAAATGCTCAAAGCTGTGAGTATATAATGCAAAGAGTTGACTAAAACATGAATTGAATAAAATTTTTATATATCAACTAGTAAGTCATCATGGTGAAAAGTCTCATTAAAAGATTTCTGTCATCTTTTGACGTTTTGTTGGAAAGCTAAAACCTACCTACCTACCTTTTGATTCTTTCACAAATTTGGTCTTTATTCTGGAAAGAAATTAAACCTCTATCTCTTGTCTTTAGCAGACTTGTTCCTGACATTATAACACTTTCCATTGTGCATTTAACCATCTGACTTCGAGTTTTCAAGATTTTATTTTATTTTTAATTACAGGAAGAGGACCGGCTTTCCCGCGCTGACTTCAGCACACTGCTCAACAATGATACATTCCACAAGTCTCTGCTGGCATGTGCCGTGGAGGTGGTCATGGCAGCCTATGCTTCCACAGGTAAACATCTCCTTTTACTACTACTGTAAAACAGTGTTACATTAAGTACAAATAATGCTGTTATTTAAGCATATGGCTATATGAATTCAACAGAAACAGCATTGTCATTAGATGAAGATTATTGCTTGGCTATAGAATCCAGCTGAATACTACAAAACCTTTCAAATCTGATATTGAATTTTTAGGCCAAGCACATTTCAAAGTGTCTGATGCCTATGTGCTTTGAATGACTATCATTTATGATGATACACCAGTTAGTAAACACTGGTTAGAAAAATTCCATCATCATACAGACATAGGCAGAACTTTTCCAGTTTCTTCCCTAATATTATGTCAACAGCACTGTACCTGAGAGTTCTCAAGACTATGGGTAATGACCATAAGCTCCCTTAAAAGTTTGAGTTTTGAGCATTTACTTTTGAAGTTTTGATACAGTCCCACTAAAAAAGGTGGAACGTTCATAAATTTTTCAGTCCCGGGCAACGCAACTCCATCCAGCACCGACACAGCATTCCCATGGGTCCTGGCAGTATTTGGTCTACAAGCTTACAACTTTCACAAGGTGCTGGAGAGTTTTATCAGAGCAGAACCTTGTCTGCCTAGGGAGACCATAAAGGTGAATAATAATAATAATAATAATAATAATAATAATAATAATAATAAATGTAATAATAATTATAACTGTTACAATAATAATAACAACACTAATTATAATAAAGTCTAAGTCCTTATAGTGTAACCACTTAAACTATTAAGATTCATATTCTAGAATAAATAATAATAATAAAGCTACAGTTTTTTGCCTAATTAAATAAAAAAGACAAAGAGGTTAGCTATTATAGGTTATAACTATCAGTTTATAACTTTTCCAATGCATTGGTCTCATTGTGCAAGGTTTAGGTTGGAAAACATTTAGTAAATGTGTAAATTGAATAAAGTGTACATATTTTGTTTGGATGAATTTCAGAGATGAATTTTGAAGTGTAGCGGTTACCTGTTTTGGATGTTTTGATTAACTAGTCAGAATTTATTTAACTGCTTACAGGTTATGTTTTCTGAATTGGAATTTTGTTTTGATTTTGCAGCATATACAAAGTATTGAGAATCAGATTTTGGAAAAAATAGCCTGGAAGTCTGTAAGTATTCTTATTTTGCTTCAAAACGTATTGCCTTCCATGCTTCATTTTTATAAACGCCACCTCCCACATTTGATATATATTTTTTTCGCTCTTGGGTAATAATTTTAATCCCAGAATAGCTCTCCAGTTTCTTGAGGACTGTGAACAATAACTGTACAATATATAATCCTATTTATAGTACTTGAAAAACTTAGAAAGATCTCAAATGGAACATTTAACCAGTAATGGATAATAAAAACTTAACCAAATAGATTGTGTTTAAGAGCAAGTGTTTGATTTCAGACTGCCAGTGAGTAACCTTTTATGAACAAAGGTTATGGTGAATTTATTATTTTCTCACTAGGATTCACCACTGTTTGACTTGCTTAAAAGCACCGAGATTCCAGCGCCATCTATTCCTGTGTCGCCAGGAGTGAAGGAGCAACCCAAAAACGGAGGCAAACCTGTGACAGCAGCACAGCTGTAAGACATTGTTCTAATTCTTTAACATAAAGTTGTAGAATAGTTTTTGTTTGATATGCATTTTAGTAAGATTTGGCCACGCTTGTATGAAGCTTTATAATATAAAGAAAAAAAAACATAACAAATAACAGAACTGAATTAAATTTTATTGTGAATCCTGTAGTGGATTTCAAACTTCTGGTGATGAAGCTGTTCATGAGTCCTGTTCATGAATAACCGATCAGTTTTAATTATGCAGTCTTTTTATTTCATTTTACTCTATCAGGTACCTGTCTCCGACAAATGGGTTACAGGCAACGTGCAAGATGGCTGACACAGCTCAGGTCATTGCCAGCAGTTCTGTCAGGCAGACTCCACCAAAAAGATCTCATTCTCTTAATCTCTTTTTTAATAAAGGTGAGGTCTATATGTTTTTTATTTATATGTTCAATAGAATTTTTGACATTTTTTTTACATTATTTAAACATCAGTTCCAACTTAGAACTTTAAAGAGAAAAAATGGTTTATTCACTGGACTTGATTCTGATTTTGCCTATTTGTAACTCCAGGTTTTGGTGTATAAGCTTTATATGTGTGAATTATGGTTAAATTCTATTTGTCCTTCAAAATACTGTATGTCCTGTGGTATATTTCAGTGTCCAGACTGGCTTATCATCGCCTTCAAGATCTGTGTACATTGCTTGCCATACCTAAAGATATGGTAAGGGGAACCAGTAAAGCTCTAGAGTGCAAAGCAATCTGTTCATGGCATTTTATGACCTTTCATATGCACATTTTGTTAAATGATATAGAAAACCTGTATTGAAAGCTATACATTTTTTTTGGAAATTGCCTATTTTTGGCTTGTATTATTTGGGGTTGATTAATATTAATTTGATTGCTGGGTATACTGCCAGTCAGGATGAAGAAAATGCAGACTGAATGTTGGGATACAACACAGTGTTGTAAGTCTTGGTAGAAGTAAATGGAATCCAGACAAAAATGTAATTGGGTTTTTGTTTTTTAACCTCCAGCAACTGAAGATCTGGACGTGTTTGGAACACTGTATCACAAGGAAGCCAGATCTTCTCAGAGACAGACACTTGGATCAGGTAAGTGCTGCCATCTATCCTGTTTTTGTAGCAGTTCTTTTGTGTTAATTGACGTACTCTCTAAGTTGTTTCATATCAGAACAGTTTTGTCATATCTAATTTTTTTATCAGCAGATATCATTGAATAAGCTTACAGTGAAGCAGTAATATTGGAAAGAAACGAAGAAACCGTTTACAGTAACGTAATATGTTTTGATATAATTGCTGGTTTAGATTATGCTAAGGAGTTTTTAAACATTAGGCAGTATAACCTGGATCTTTTCATTTGCAGTTTAAAAAAAATGTTAAAATTTGTGTGAAAATCTTTCAGGTGATGCTGTGCTCTGTCTATGCAATCCACAAAGTGATCTCAACTGACACGGAGCTCAAGTTTAAAACCATTGTACATATGTACAAGTCAATGCCCCATGCCACACAAGAGGTAGGCAGAGTGTGTTAGTTGTGACTAAGGACTAGATGAATGTGTTGGTTGTGACAGAGGGGTGTGTGAATGTTTTCTTTGTTACACTTATGTTCTGTGGAATGAAAGTTGATGTTTCAAGTACATTAGTTGAAACATTTGGTATCCTTTGTTTTTGTGGTGATTGATTTTTTTTTAAACGTGATTCTGTGTTATAAGTGTTTTTTGTCACAGTTGATATTGCATCTATATAAAACTGTCAGTAATTTAAGCCTTGTCTTCAGGTATTCAAGAACACTCTCATCTCAGGAAATGAGTATGATTCTATCATTGGGTTCTACAACCGTGTGTTCATGCAGGCCACCAAGAATGTGATCCTTCAGTTTAGTCCCTCCAGGTCTAGCAATGTAAGTGTATATGATCCTTCAGTTTAGTCCCTCCAGGTCCAGCAATATAAGTGTATATGATCCTTCAGTTTAGTCCCTCCAGGTCCAGCAATATAAGTGTATATGATCTTTCAGTTTAGTCCCTCCAGGTCCAGCAATATAAGTGTATATGATCCTTCAGTTTAGTCCCTCCAGGTCCAGCAATATAAGTGTATATGATACTTCAGTTTAGTCCATTCAGGTCCAGCAATATAAGTGAATGTGATCTTTCAGTTCAGACACTTGAAAAACATTTTGTTTTTCGAAATAATATTATATTGTGATTGCTAACTCTTTATATATTTTACAACAAAGTAAAAGGCAGAGTGAAGAATAGGGAACAGGCCTGGTATTGCACATTTTTTTGTAATTAAATTGCTTTGGTAAATAGAAAGTTAAGTACTTGGGTCATGATATTTAGTAAAACTCTCTAAATAAAATGCTCAGATGTTTCAAAGAATGATGAGTTTGGGATAACATATTTCAGCTCTTAACTTGGAAATAATTATATTTCAGCCTGGGTCATTGACTTTATCCCCAGTGCCAAAGAATATCCAGTCTCCTCTCACTGCTTCCCCTGTCTACAGGTAAGTGGCATAAAGAAGTCATGATCCTGGGTGTGTTGACAGTGCCAGGAGATTGTGTTAGCTGTGGTGGACAATTGTGTTGGGTGTGACAAAAGATGCTGTCAGTTGTGACAGATAATTCTGTTGGGTGTGACAGATTGTGGCAACTGTGATAGTTGATTGTGTTGGGTGTGACAAATTATTGTGTTTGGAATTTCATGATTTTGATTGTAAGTAATTTTGTAAGAATTATATATGTATATTGTTGTATTATATATCTGTTCCAGTGTCCCAGGCAGGAAAAACTTCTATGTGTCCCCCCTGAAGAGCCCTACCTTTAAGGCCCCCATCTCCCCCAGTCAGATGACCCCCAGGACCCGGCAGCTGTACAGTTTTGGAGAGGGATTTGGGGTATGCTGAACTAGGCATTTCATACCTGCTAGAGTTAAATATCCAGTGGGGTTGTGAAAACTTGGCTTAGTACTATGTAATATCTCAGTAAACAGTGTTGTTATTAATTTCATAAACAAAATATGGTATTGTGGGTCTCTGATTTCTTTACTACTGCTGTAGTTGAAAGGGCATATAAAAGCTTCTCAGGCTTTTGTTGTTTTAAGGGGCATTTCTAGTAACTGTGGTGGCTTGACTGGAAATATCCATTTAAAGAACAAAACTCTAATGATAATCTCAGTAGACAGTGACATAATAATCTCAAACATAGTAAACCTAGTTGATATAATTATAAGTCTGCAAATTCTATAGTAATGAATATTTTTTACAATTTTTTAGCCCAACAATCTTAGAATCATTATGCTGACAATGTCATGCTTTGTTTTATTAATCACATCACCTTTTTCACACCCAGTCCTCTGAGAAATTGAAGTCCATCAACGATACCCTAAGGGCCATGAAGCGCACCTCCCCCACAGCTGTCACCCCTAAGAGCCAGAAGAGACTACGCTTTGACCAGCCTGACCAGGATCGGAGGTACAGAGGATGTTTGAGGGGAAAGCAAGAGTGCTTAAAGGATTAAATTTATATAGTTTTTAAAGTGAGAGATGATCATCATTTAATTTGAAACTGGGGCCACTTTAACACAGAATTTGATTCAGCTAAATTACTTACAAAAATTTAATTTCTTGCAGAAAAATAGGAAAAAAGAGTTGAATCAAAAGCATTATGTTTGCTAATGATTATTAGTAATAATAATAGAACAAATAACTAAATACTTTTAAAAATATATATGAGACAAAAGATTTGGCACTTAAAATACAGTTAGTATTTTTGAACTCTTAACTGTAGTATCTATCATCCCTTTTTATTTTTGCATGCCATATTTCATTTATTGTACCACCAGCGTTAGCGCTGGCGGTACACATGGTTTCGGTCCCGTCCGGATCGTTCCGCCGGCTCCGCCGGACGGCTACTGTTACCGCTTCTCCTCCTAGACGGTAAGGGCCCCCGTACCCATCTCATGGATTTAGGTCACCTATAATCTCAACTCGTTCCACGTAAAATTTGGACTTTGTCGGTATTGGGGTCTGGGTGTGGCACTCATTACAATGCACCCTTGTCTAAAAATGGCAAAATTAAATGCTAATTATCTACCCTACGGAAGGAGTTATGGGAAAAATTTCTATAGACGGCCTTCCAAAAGTCATATGTGTAGATTTCAAATATACCCTTGGATTTGACCTTTGACCTTTACTTCAAGGTCAAATGGGTCAAAATTTTCAAAAAAATGAAATTTTTTACGAAAAAATTTTTTTTTACCCTGTTATTCAGACACTACACAGACTTAACCAATAATATTATTGGAAAGTGTTACCCTTCAGGTCATCTTTCATCTCCATGAATTTGGGGTCAATCGGTGCATTTTCACGGGAGTAGCGGCCATAAGATACCGAAACTGAAAACTGTCTCTAATTCGGGAACCGTTAATGCTAGAGACCCATTCTTTTTTGCATTTTGTAGAGCATGTAAAGCCCAACACTGG